CAGGGTCATCAATAAGATGGGTAGGGTCACGACTGCCCCTCACAGCCTATTCCTCCCTGATTAGTTAGGCTGAGGATATTGGACTTTTCAGGGTTACTACTGGGTTGTGTTTCTGGCCTATTATTTCACTTTTCTTTCTTACAGTTTTTTTTTGTTTTTTGTTTTAATAAAAACAATCCCACAGAGGCCATTTATTGCGGTTGAGTAAGAACCTAAGGGTAATGAAAACACTATGAGCCATGTTTTAGAACTATACTCATAACAAAGAAACTTAAAAAGGGGGAGTGGGGGAGCTCTTGCCCTCAGCTTCTCGCTTCAATGATCAGTTCTAGTTGGACACGCTTTGTAGCAGAGTAATGTTATCTCCTTTCAGCATGATCCGTCCCAGTTGTTTCCTTGACTTGACTTTGTTTTAGAATGAATCTCTTCTGCATCATCTAATACAAGGTTCATGTACTCATCAAAGCCTATGATACAGCCCTCTATCCGCATATTCACTTGCTCATAGAGCCACACCTGAATCCGGGATCTATTTTGCAAGTATCTAAAGATGAGGTTGAAGGGCTGCACCATCACCTTCTGTACTTTCTGGCGTTGGCCGCGGTACGCCATCGTGGAAGCTCAGAGAAACCACACCGAGCCGCACGCTAGCTTAAAAAGCAACTTCCGGAATCCAGAACCGGAAACCTCTTATAGGGGTTTTAAAATACATATTCTGAATATTTGTTCCTTGTTAATGTAAGTATCTTTTCCCTGCCTAGTTCAAGGCTTCTTAAGCTTTGGTACATCTCTTACCATAAAGAATGTGACTTGTGTAATTTCTACTTTTTTAGACTTTCTGGACAGTTTCCCCCTAGTATACAGTCCAACCGTGTAAGAGTGCTATGTTTGAAGCCCACATTTGAATGGTGGGGCTGGCTGGTGAAGAAGATGTAACGCACCTGGACTGCCAGAAGAACAAACCAACCAATCTGTGCAGCTCAGAACTTAAAAGCTGGGATGGTGAGACTTCATCGCACACACTGTGGACATGGTGTCAGGAGAGCCCAGAGAGAGGCTGATTCAGGGGTTGTAGCAATGGCCCCAACACAGCCCCTGTGCAAGAGCAGGCAGTGTTTCTCCAGTCCCACGTAGGCTCATTACGATTTGGAACTGACTAATGGCACCTAACAATAACATAGATGTTTTTACATGTTTCTCATGTATTGTGTCTGGTGGGCATACAGGTCTACTGATGAAGCTGAACTTGTTCAAGTGGTACTCGGAGAGCTGGAGGCTCCTCCTACAGGGGATGATATTCTCATTGCACCTCGTCGTTTCTGCTGCGGGGATTTCAAGGCTAGGGTGTCACTAAGTTCCTGACTGTGAGGACTCCTTAGTGAATTTTAACTTTTAACAGATCTAAAATGTCTCTTTTTGTCCCATTCAGAAAAATCCCAACCAAACAAAGCAAGCAGCCAGTCTATGGGGCACAGTGAGCAGCTGTGGGCAGGTCTGGGCTCTGGTCCCATCTCTGCTACTCTGCAGGCCACTCAACCAGGCAAACTGCCTAACTGCTGCCTCTGTAAAATGTCTCAACGCTAAAGGTTTCTTCTAGACCTCGAGACTCTACGACCAGATGACAGGAGAGCTGGACTTTTCCCCTTGGGTGGGAGGAATCACTTACCAAAACTGTAACTTCCAGTTAGCATCCGACTGGCTGGCAGGGAGGGTGAGGAGGGAAAGGATGTGGGCGCACAGGGGAGAGAGAGAATGTCAGTCAGTCCACCTCTGGCTGTCCCCCAAATACCGTCTGTCCAGCTCACTAGCTGCCCTTCCCAGGCTTTTAGGATGTAAAAAGGGAGACAGGCAGCCCCACAGCTATTCAGGAGGCTAAGGAGGAACCAGTGCTGTGAGAGTTTCCCCGACACAGCATGCGGGTAATGGGGGTGCTTGTAGAGGCTGGGGTGCAGCCCCCTGGAGACTACCCTGAACTCTCCCCCAATCCTACAGCGCACGGACAACCAGGGGGTCTCAGTCCTTCTAGCGTTCTGGTCATCCGGATTTCCCGGTCAGAAACTGTCTAGGGTCTACACTGAACAACTCTGGCTACACTAAGGTGACCAGAACACTTATGGCGGGACAGTCCGATTTTTGGAAAGAATGCACGACAAGCTAGGGAACGGTCTATTTGGTCCATAGAGACCAAATTTTTAATCAAGAAACACCCCCCTCGCCCCCCACTCCCGGTCAATGGTGTCCGCTTTAAATCTGGTCACCTTAGGCTACACCTGTGGCCGTTTCCCCTCATGAAGAAAAGACAAAAGAGTTCCCTCGTCCAGACAAGAATCCGTGAGAGACCCTTCCATCCTTTTCTTGTGCTGCTCCCTCTCTGTCCGTCTCGCCTGTACTCAGGCCCGCAGGCTGGTCAGATGCGAACAAAGGGTGACTATGGACGCAGAACTGGACGCAGATCAAAGGGAGAAAGGAAACCAGCGGGCAGTTTACCTGTGGGCGTGGGCTGGGCCTGGAATGGGGCCTGGCCAGCTGGAGCAATATTTCCAAATGTAGATGAGCTGGGGCTACTGCCAAAGGCATCAAAGTTGGCAAAGCCGCCATGGGATGGTGTCTGTCCTATAGGGGAGGGAGTATAGCAATATAGAGATAATATATGTAAATGCCTTCATATAATATATACTAATTCTAAAGGAGGCCCGGGATAGGGCAGTCACACACACTGGGGGAGACCTCTGAGTTCCCTCCCCACCTTTTGTTATCCTTGCTCTATGAAGTAGAAACATTTTGTTCAGAACCTAGGCTGGGAATGACATGGAAAACACACACAATTGTGTCTGTGGGGAAGGTGGGCTGAAAAAGCAACAGAACCTCTACTGTTCAGCCTTCCAGCTGCCATTGCTGGTCTCTGGGAAGAGGGCAGGGGAAATGAAGCACATGATAATCCCATCCCCTGCAACCATTTCAATAGAGAGAGAAAATGATAAAAAGGCTATTTCCAGTGTCCTGACAGGAAGTGCTGGAAGCTCTGAGTTCTCATAGCCAAACGCCCAGACACAATCCCTGCTGGATGCGCTTGCCTCCGACTCCCGATCTCGAGGCTCCGAGCCTCCACCGCGTGCATGCCCAGGAGGAGACCCAGGCCCTGTGCAACTCCATTACTTCACAGTGGGAAAGCCTTCTGCTGCGGGGTACGTGATCATGGGGAGGTTCTCACCCCAGTCCCACTTACCCCCAAACGCCGGGAATCCGGCAAAAGTTGGAGCTGTCTGGGGAGCAGCAAAGGGGTCTCCACCGATGTCAGCCAGCAGGTCAGTGCTGGCTTTCTTGACAGAAGAGTGGGCAGGGGCCTGGGAGCTCCGTGGCTGGGCTATCCGAGCCTGAGACTGACTGGCGGACTTGAAGGAGAAGGAATAGCAGATAGCACGTGAAATCCCAGGCGTGACCCAGGCCCTCCAAGATCCCCCAGGCTGCCCCAGGATACCACGTGGTGAGGGAAGAATGAGTCATTAATTGCCTCCAGCTGGGAGGCTGGCCCCCAGCGTTCCACTCTTAGAGTGCACAGGAATGGAGCCAGTTCGTCCGCTCGGTTTTTCACATCTTCCCCTTTCCCAGGTGCCGGAATATCCCTTCTGTGTTTCCTTGGAGGGAGTGGAGTTGATGCTCTCACTTCTCCACATACCTCTTCCTGAGGGCTTCTTGCTTCCCAAAAGGTAGGAGTGCCAAAGGCCCAGGGGCAAGACACGGGCAACAGCAGGGCTGAGGACAGACGCACAGCTCTCCCACTGCTGGCCACAAAGCCCAGGGACAACTCAGGGAGCGACGCCTCGTTTCCTAGCACCCCAAGTAAATGTGCAGCTCTGACAATTACCTGGTTGGAGGTGGACGCAACAGCTGAGAGCGAGGGCACAGGGTCACCCAGAAGTGTCCGCGGGGGCTTCCCTTCAGGGGCTGAGCCCTGGGTAGGGGTGGAGGCACTGCCTTTGGTATAAGTGGGCCCTTTCACTTGGTCTGGGGGGACATACCTTTGAGAAAGAACAGTTAGGTTGAAGGAGAGGGATACAACCTTGGGCCATCCTCAGCTTGGGGAAACAGCCCTTTCTCATCTTTGCTCCGAGTCAAAGGGAATCCCACCATGTTCTGGCCACCATGAATTCCCCTTGACTGTCAGCTGCTTAATAGTGATTCTGGAAGAAGGTTCCGTTTGCTGCGGCTTATGCCAACCTCCCCTCCTCCGGCCCCGCCACCCTCTTTTAGACACCTTGAGCCATCTGTGTTTCACGCAATAAGACGTGAGGCTTCTGGTGACCAGGAGATCTTATTTTCCAACTTTCTACTCAAGGCCCCCCTTTTTATTTCCTGGGTGTCTCTCCAAACTCCTCCTGCTCGGTCCCACACCCAAAGTGTCTGCACTCACAATCCATAGTCCATTCTGTCTGCTCTGGAGACTTCTGAGAACCCCTTACCCCACCTCCGGTGGGAGAGCCCTACAGGGGATGCCTCAGGAGGAACTCCGAATTGCTGTTCTGTGCACACCAACTGCGAGCCCTCTGCATTCTCTTCTCCGCCCACAAACCATCGGAAGGGCTCCTTGGGAAGGACAGGGCTAGGAGAATGGAGCTGCTACTGTGTGCATCAAAACCACGACTAACACAAGGGGATAAAGGCACAGAGCGATTGAAAGTGAGCTTCTAGCCATCTTGCCCACGTAAGAGATGATCTGTAAAATGAATCTACACTCCCACATGCCTATCGCCTTTCAGCTGGCCTGCGGTCTCTTCAGATGAGGGGACATAGACACGCAGGGTCAGGGACGGGCAACAAGTGGTCCTTTAGTGTCAAGTTCTTAGAGGCCAGTACTTAGCCCTAACTGCTTGGGATCCCTCACAGTTGACCCAATCCACCCAAGTTCAGTCTTTGAAAGAAGTCCAAATTCAACTCTGGGAATTGAGAAACACATCCTCACCATCTCTTCTTCTCATACTTCTCCTGGAGAAACTCCTTCACCTTCTGCGGATCCCTGGAATCTGGTACTAAAGATGTCCGGGCATCAAAAAGACCCAGCCAGATCTTCCTGCAGACCTAAAGGAATGGAGTCAGGACTTGGAGCAAAAAAACCACAAAGTGGGAAAGACCCCACTTCCAATGTCTTTCTCCATACTTCTTTTTGGAGCTTGGACACAGAGCTAGGATCTGGTTACAGCTAAGATCTGGTTACAGGGCAAACAGGATCCCTCCTCCTTCACAGAGCAAACAGGATCCCTCCTCCTTCACAGAGCTTGGAATCAAGTGGAGAGGTCATCCCTGAGATAAATAATGTATCACTGCATAGGGTCACAAATGGAAAGCAGAAGGCCATGAATTAGGGGAATTAAGCTTGAAAGTTGGGTTGGGGACAGTTTTCTGAACTGTGCCTTCTACCAGACCCTGAATTAAGTTAATTACTGTAAACTGGGGGTAGGTACAACCAACAGAGGTAGCTGGGGAAGGGTTTAATGGCGTCAAGCACGGTTGTCCAGGCTCCTGTCGGCAGGGTTGGCTCCATGGAAATCATACGCAGGGGACTGGCCCTTCTGAGTCAACTGAGAAGCCATGAGCCTGCAGCTCTAGTTTCCTTCTCGAGTGCCGGGGGCAAGTCCCACAGACAGACTGCTCCTTGCCTCACTTCCTCAAGCAAGGGACCTGGAGAAACGTACTTTGTATTCCTAAGATTCAATATACATAAGACACGAGACCTTCAGCCAAAGAAAACTAAAGACCCGTGGAAACTGTGTCACCCACATAGCAACCTCCAGGACCCTGAGGCCAGAAGAACAAGATGGCGCCTGGCTTCCACTGCTAACCACTCTTAAAGGGGTCACATTAGAGGGTCCTGAGAAGGGCAGGGGAGGAGAAAAATGTCCAACAAAACCCAAATCATAAAAGCGACCAGGATTACTGGGACAGGTAGAGACTGGCGGAACCCCTCCGCTACCCTGCAGGTCTGGAACTGACTCGCCCCCTTAGCTCAACTTTTCAGCCCAACAATGGACGGGTCTGCAAGGGAGGTGTGCACACCTTGGAATGATTAACCACTGGATATCAAAAGAGCTGCATTTACCCAGGGACTAAGTTCAGAAGGGTTAGACATGAAGGAGGGATGGGGACACAGCTGTTGGATCAAGGATTGTAACAAATGAGATGAAACCTGTGCCTGAATTGCTGAAGGGACAATTGCTCTGTAAGCCTTCAGTGGACGGGGCAGCTGACTGCCTCGTGTGCTCCCTGGGAGTGGCTGGTGGGTTCCGACTGCAGGCCTTTGGGCTAGCAGCCACGTGCTTTAACCCCTGTGTCACCAGGCCTCCTCCTCCATACTGGGGGAGAAAGAAAAAAAAAGAAACTCAAAGAGACCACTGCGTCCCGTACAATCAACCATGCAAGACCAAAAGGGCAGCTTTTGCCCAGGGATAGAGAGACAAGGAAGGACAAGGGGAAACGGGAGGCAGCGGCAGGAAGTGGACAGGGTGCTTGCTGTTCCTGGCAGGGTACCATAATCAATGTCACAAACCAAAATGCATGGGAACTGAAAACCAATTTTCAAACTTTTGCCCAAATCACAGTGAAAAGTTAAAAGGAAACAAGAAGCAAAACATGCTCGTGCTTCTTCTAGAATTCTGAGGTAAGGACGGCTCTGAGGGAAGTCAGGGCCAGCACAGCCTCCTAGCCGGTCCCGAAGGGCCGCTCACCTCATTCCCACGCGACTGAAGGAAGAGGACTTCGGGCTCTGTGAAAGTTGTCATGGAGATGGACTTGACTCGATGGGGTGGGTTCAGGCCCCTCCTGTGGGAGAGAAGGGTGATCGTTACACTCAGCCCTGCAGGTCCGGTTCTGAGCAGGGGAGGCAGGAGGAAGGACAAAACTAAGCACAGACAGAACCCCTTTCCTAAGCTACTGCCTAATTCAAAGGAAGAAGGGAATCGTGGATAGTTTGGAGGTGGCAGAGTGGTTACGAGATGGGTTGTGACCCACAAGGTCAGCAGTTTGAAACCACCCCGTCCTCCTGGGGAGTAAGATGGGGCGTTCTTCTCCTGTCAATCGCTGCAGTCTCAGAAACTCCTGGGGCAGTTCTACCCTGTGACAGGGTGGCTCTGAGTTTGGTCTTCTAGTGAGAGGCAGAGAAGAAAGGCCCGGAACCCACTGGGACTCCAGTCATTCCGGAGAGGAACGTCAGAGCCTGTCTAAGCAGCAGCCTCCTCTCCTTTAGCTCAGAACCTCAAAGTTCTGATGTCCAGCCACGATCAACCCATCCCCACTTCCTGGTTTATCATGGTTTGAGCCGAGAGCATGTACCTTCAAGGTCCCAGAGCCCACGAAAGTACAAGTCTCTTCCACATGAGGGTAGGAAGAAATAAAGGCCTGTGACTATTCCTGATAAAATAAAGATGGGAACGAAGACAAACACTAGGCTGGCTGCTCCTCCTCTGTGTCCATAGAAGCCAGAGGGCAGTGGGGATGGGGAGGGCCCCTCTTCTTTCAGAAGAGCTCTCTGGGAATCATGCTCCAGACTACGTTTCCATGGGGCGGAGGGAATCGAGGCCAACATCCAGACAGGAGATCGGCACATGCCAGGAATGCATTCCTGGAGTGACGCTTTAGTGCTTGCCCTGTGAGTTCTGGACTCCCCAGGGGTCCAGTTTTGCCCTCAGAAACCTTGTGGAGCTTCCACCACTAAAGGCTTCTGGTCCCCACTCCAACTGGTCTCCTGAGGGATCCAACAGAGGAATTTGGAACTGAGTCAGGCAGGATGTCGTACGTTTCCCTTTCCTTATCCCTCAGGTTTTCCTCTGCAGACTGTTACTCCCCTGGAATAAAAGGGGAAATCAGGAATCTAAAATACAAGGAACTCTGAGAGAGGGCCCGGCCCATGTCCTCAGAAGAAAGCCAGGGAGGAGAAGAGAGAGTCAGACGGACCAAACAGAAACTCCCGCATTTCATGAAGAAGTTGGGGAAAGCGCACCTTCATGCTTCCGAGGGACAAAGGTAGGACTAAGGTACTCCTGCTGTCTGGTGGTGCTCTTGGGTAAGCACTGAACTGCTGACCACCAGGTTGAAAGTTCAACCTCCCCAGTCTCTACAAGGGAGGGAGATGAGTCTTTTCCCAATCCCTGGAACACTTAGTCTTGGAGACCTTATGTAAGGTTGCTGTAAGTCAAAATAGACCTGATAGTTGTGGGGTTTGGGGGTGGTGTTGTTTGGTTTTTGGTGGGTCTAGGTCTTGGAAAATGGTAGAGTACGAGGTGGTTTTAAACAATTCTTGGGAAAATGGGATTTTGAGATAATGGAAATCTTCCCTTAAATTTGAAGCCCCTCATATTTATCAGTTTACGTACGGCCATGGGGAAGATGGGCTGGGAAGGGTGGTTGCCTTGCTGGGTGAGGAATGACTGATTATTGGGTGCTAACAAAAGACAGGACCTTGGAGCATACACTTGAGGGCACGCTCAGTAATGCTTCTTCTAGACGTCTCAGTGGAGGGTTTCAAAGTATCCCTTAAAAAAAAGACAAGTCCTGTCAAAGAGGAGCGGTGTCCCAAGGAAAGACAAGCGCAGGGAAACCCAAAGGCCAGGCTTTGTTTCTGCAAGTCCAACAATAGCAGCTCTTCAACTTCATCTGCCCGAAGACTCTTCTCTTCTGAAGCCTCCCTTGCTAATGGCTTGATTTGGCTTTGTTTTTAATTCCAGCCAGCCTGGTTTAAGATTTTTTTCATCCCAACTACTAGGCCCACCCCCCTCAGAAAGCAAGGTTTTTCAACTGCCTAGCCTAAAGAGACCCCTCTGTGATCCTTGTCCTCTGGTTTACCTCTGACTAATACATACTGACTTGTCAAAAGACAAAGGCATTGTGGTAGGCACTGGGGGATCCTAAATGAGAGCAACTAGTTCTTGATCATCAGGAGCTTCTAACAGGGGCTCAGGAAGAAACATGTGGCACAAGACTCAAAATCATAAAAGAGGCCAGGCTTATTGGTCAGATAGAGACTGGTGGAACCCCTAAGACTATGGGCCTTAGGCACCGTTCAGGTCTGGAACGGAACTTACTCCTTGGCTCGATTTTCAGCAAAATAGTAGGGTCTACGTACGTACAATAGCATGATGTAGGATCTATGTAGGGTCAACACCACCAATGAGATATGCACACCTTAGAATAATCAACCGTTTGAGCACTTCTCCAGCCACAGTTCAGGAGGAGGAATGGAAATAAGAAACAGGGAGGAGGTGGACTAAGAGGGGAGTGTAATGAAGGAGAGGAAACAGAATGTGCATGAATTGTTCAATGTGAAACGGATGTAAACTTTCCCCCAATCCACAAGGAAAAGGTACAAGGAAGAAAGCATGAAGGGCCCAGGGAGCCTGGAAAAGGCCCTGGTCAACAGGGCAGTGGGCTCACAGACAGGTCAGGGGGCAAGGTGACTTGGGGGAAGGACGGGGAATGACTAGTCACGGGAGAGAGGGTGTGGATTATGTTGACACTAGAGAAACAGAGTCCAAGCCCATCACACACAAAAAGGTCACTGGCATTTCCTGAAAGGACGACCTGGAACTGTCAGCGAAGTGCGTGGACTCCCGGAGACACCAATCCAAGGGGGATGCTTAGAACACCTGGCGTGCCTGTGGCCGAGCTCGAAGAGGAGGCTTTGTTTTGATGTGTTGAGAGGGCGGGAGGGAAACAGAGGAAAGAAATAAGTGGTCTGAAGGACCAGGATGTCTCCATCGCACAGTGCAAAAAGCATTGCTCTGACCTTGATGCCTGCCTGCCCAGTTACCTGTCACCAGAGCCAGAGTTTCGGGGCAGAGAAAATGCTTTTCAGGCCCACACTTGGAAGCCCAGGAAGGGGCCTAGTTACATGGCCTAGGAGTCAGAGTACCTGCTTCTGAATCAGAGAGAGGCCATGCTCTGTGATAAGCGGTTTAGAACCAGAACCCCTCTCCTCCCAGAGCCGGAGTCGATGGTCTAGGTGTGCTGTGTCTCCCTGGGTGCACGGCAGGCTCCTGCAATGGGCTAGATGTGAGCTGTTGGCCTTGAGTGACGCAGACCCTGTTCCTTAACCCCAACTCAAGTTTTCCCAGCATAGCTCCCTGGCGCTTTCCGGAAGGCGCGAGAGCCAGAATGGAAGGCGGGCCTGCCTTTCCATTTGTGGCAACCAATTCCCTTCTCTTATCTCTAACCAGGAGGTTTTAGGGACATAGAGAGATGCATTTGTTTTCCCCAGACAGGGCAGGTTTTTCCAAATGAGAGCAAGGGAGTAGGACTGAAACTGTAATTCAGCCTTGTCACGTGCTCTGGATCGACTTCAGTTTCCTTTTCACTGGACATCTAAATGGCCTTGAAGTGCTCTGAATTACTCAAGTAAATGCAACCACTTGTAGATGCTAAAGCTGGCCGACTTCCTTCTCGCTTCCTCTCCCCTTTGAGTCTAGTACTGCTGGCATTTTCGCAGATCCCACACCTTTTGTTTTCCTGTGGTCACCCGTCACCCGCAAGCTGGCTCACACTCTGCTTCTCCCTTGCTTCAGAAAAGCCTCAAACCTGTTCAGCTGCTCAGATAAGACAGGCTGTCAGGTCAACAGTGGAAAAAGCCCGTTCCGCCCAGCACCTGAGGTCTTTTATTTGTGCCAGATTTTGACTTGGGACTTCCTTGCCTCGGAAGACTTGTATTCCAATTCCTGCACCCCAGATTGCGTTTCTACAGTCCTGGGACGGTCTGTCTCTACTTCCGAGCAGGGCATAGCTAAGCCCGTTTCATTCTGATCTGGAACTCACACAGTCCTAAGCCAGGGTCAATTCCACCCATTTTAGGAAACCTTTCTTAAGCCCCAAGCTCCTGCTTCAATCTCCTTCCTCTCATTTTCCCTCAGTGGCTCTCCTCTTCAAACTCCATCTGAAAACTTTTTACACTCCACCCTCCTTTGGCAATTTAGTTCCTTACAGACACTGGTCCTTCTGATAAAATGTCTACAGCTGTCATTTAGTGCCTGAATTTAATCTGTCCGCCTCGGCCCAGCAGAAGTAAATATAAAAGGTCAGATTGGGGGGTGGGGATGGCAGGTTGGAACAAAAACAGCGGCACGGTGCGTCCATACTTCTCCAACCCAGACTCATGGGAAAGTGCTGACGTACTGAACAAACACGTATTAAAATTTTCCTTCAATGGAGATATAAGCGCTTCCACTAGGAACCACTAGCAGTCACACGGGGAAACCAAGGCACAGGAGGATGAAAACCTGTCACAAAGTAAACAGCTAACAAGGACATCACTTGACCACCTAGCCCAGAGCTCTGTCCAAGGTAGGATGGAATCGGTTATTAGAGTCAAGTTGTTTAAAAGTAGATAAGTCTCTACTACTTAATCCTGAAAGGGGATGGGCTGTAGGATGAGCCCTGGTGGCACAGTGGTTACATCTTTGGCTGTGATCCTCAAGATCGGCAGTTCAAAACCACTAGCCATCTGAGGGAGAAAGATGGAGCTCCTGTAATACAGTTACAGCTTCAGAAACACACCGAGCCTCCACGCATGTCGCATATACTCGGCTGACCAAGAGTTTGTGTCCACCAGTGGTCATGATTCCTGATGTCAATGAGACCTCAGAACATCTGTTTTTTCTACAGAACCGTGGTGTAGCCAGAGATGGCAGGCAAAGCCGACCAAGAGAGAGCATTAGAGGCACTGCCTTAGGAATGGATCCTTTTTAGTATCAATCTTTGTCCCACCCTAAGCTTGTAGTGACAAAAATATAACGAACCAAACAAGCGGGTGCATGCAAGGGTAAGTCAAAAAGTAT